TCTTTGTAGCACAGTTCGCGTATGGTAGGAACAATCTGACTTGTGTAGTGATCTGGCTACCCAATAAGTTACTTTACCAGGAGTATGTGGCAAAGATATAAAAATAATAACGCTAGATTAGGTATCCAATAATAAAGAGGTCAAATGGAACAGACTCACTAATAATTGTTCTTTTTAAAATAGTTCGTCGTTGGCCCAGGTTAGTGAATAAACAATAACCCGATCAGAGTTGTACAGGGGTCTTCTTCTGAACAGTTCCCACATATAATAGATTCCGAAGGTAGTCTGAAATTTTTTTATACCAGAGTTAGCATATGAGACTCATGAATGACCGCTGCAAACGCGAGCGAGATCAGAAGAGAGAATCGAAGCACGTGACCACGTTTGTATTGCGTGAAATCGTACAAGTGCGCGTTTTTGTTGTTTTTCGTATTCAAACAAAAAACGATTACGCAATCGACGAAATACGTGGTGTTATAATGGAAGCAAAATAAAGTCGTCTTGGGAAAGTGAACGCATCCGCAACAAAAGAGCTAATAGCACTGGCTACGCTGATTTTATCGCACTGCATTTGCTTGGACCGAATTCTCACAAATCGCCCCTCAGTTAGGCACGCTCAGGATGGAAACAACCCAAACGTGCTTCGTCTACAACCTGGTTACTAAAAGTTTAAGAAGCCTGAACTCCCATCCGAATGGCGTTGGTTACTACTGTCAATCTGACCGACCACCCTTAGACGACATATATCGAATGTGGTCAAGCAATCACACTATTGTATTCCACCTGCTGTCCTGAAAGTTTATCCGTCCTGGTCCGCAATTACTAGTCGAAATCGAACGATTCACTGCTAACGAATCAGCTGGAGTACTGCCCCCAACTCATAGTTGAATCATTCACCACATTATTGAACAAAAATGTGGCAAATAAAACCAGTCTCCTCATATTGGATTGTAGCTGATCAACCGAGCTAAACTGAGAAGGACTGGTTTTCATAACTGCGAGTGTGTCCACGAGGTGGATACGATGGTGAATGTTATAGAAACTTCTGAGAAACACCTGGCATTTTGGACACGAGTTACATAAATTAGCATAAAGTGGTTCAAAGGTGTGAAGGTACAGGTGCTGTGAAAATGTGTACTGAGACGAACCACTGGTGTTTTGTTCGTATGTGAATGTTGAGAACAAGCATGGGATAAACAATTAAAACTGCTCTTTGGGACTATCACATAGGATGTGGCGATAAACAAGAACATCAAAATTGACCGAGAGCTTCTTTCATCAAAAAAGCCACAACCGTTTAAGATCTTTGGCCGTGTACGTCAATAAGCTTTGCCTTTGTGAGCCCAGATATTGAGGAGAATTTACTCGAGCATGTTAGGTATGTGTAGAAATGTTACTGTTTATGTAAGAGGGCGACATACAACTGGTAAAGTCTGACTCCTGCCCTGAATATTATCCATGATATGACAATGATATGTAAACTGGTAGAGTGAATATGTGATTGGGTTCCCGCCTTTCTTAAATACCGAACTGCTCCAGGAAGAAGAATGTTCAGCCCAGAAACTTTGGTCAACACAATACTTCGAAGTCATCATTGTGGTGAATGGCATCTTCCGACCGCTTAGGAATGGTTCTGAGTTTTGTTATGGCACACCGGGAACGAAGTCCTTCTGCACACTTGCCCACTTTTTGGGCGTGCTGCAAGTAACTAGCGAATCATCCAAAGTTTTTAGATATAAAGATACTGTGGACATCGACAGGCTCGACCAAATCCTAACCTGACTTCATCCGAAGTTGAACGAAGCCAGAATGCATTATTAGGGTGAAAGACTGTTCTGTACGCTGATTCTTTGAATAGTTGGTATAGGCAGTAGTGTCCTGACGTTAATGTTTCTACATCTGACGATGCTGAATAGCTCCTGTTGTACTGTAAAGCAGGAAAGTGAGTACCGAATTTTATTGTATCATGCTTCCTCGTATTTTATTGTGTTGTGTTTTAGGGAAATTTATTAACGTAGTGTAAGGAATTGTAACAAAACTGGTAAGCAATGACCAGTGATAGAAAAAGCAGTTTACATTGGATGCTTTCGTGAGTGGACACAGTACAGTGTTGTAACCTATGCCTCATTTGTAATTACAACGCATCCTTCAACTTTCCAGGAAGGATCAGATAGCTGCGACGTGGGGACAAACTCGCCCTAGGTTGTTCCCCTAGCATACCAAAAGCTGACTATCCAATG